CCAGGTCCTGGGGAGAGGAGGAATGTCTGCAGCAAGGACTGCTCTAGGTGGCCAAGAAAATGGTCTCGTGGCTCTCTTCCCACTCTGCAGTGTTCCTTCACTGGTGTTAAACCCTGAAGAAATAATCCTTTCCTACTCTCATTCCCAGTTCTACAGCATGGAACTCAGCATACACACATTTCCCAGCGGTTTGGTAGGAACAAAGAAGGATCTCAGGGACAATTGAAGTCCATATGTAACAGTCAGCAGCAAAGCCTGGCATCTTCCTGGCAGGGGCTGACCAAGGCCTCAGTGCCTGAGGGATCAGGTGGGGCAGATGTGGAGTTTGAGGACTAGACTGAGCCCAGGTTCAGTGTGTCAGGCAAGAGTGAGGTGATGGGACAGGTCTGAGTTGAGCCAGGGAGTCAGGTGAGGATCAGGTCCAGGGATTGCCAAGCAGGTGCATCATGGCAAAGCTGTCCTGAGGACAAGCTGAGAAGGAAGTGTGTGGCCCAGCACACCTCTGTGCTCCTGCAGCATGGCACAGACCGGGGTTGGGGGCCCAGCCTAGACAGAGCTCTGGGCTCTTTGTCCATGTTTGTGTGGAGACTCTGAGCAAGGCTCAGTCATTAGGGCCTGTTAGTGCACTTTGGGCCCTGACACTTTGTTGTTGTTAGTGTTGGTTGGTTTTTTTGTCTTTATTTATTTTACTGAACAGGTGTTCTGATTTTTTTGCACAGCTCATGCCATTTCTAATTTCTCCTGAGTGTTACTGTTTTGCTCACTCGATTTGATGTTCTCACTGAAGGGACTAAAACAATCCTCTTGGCTATGGTGGAGATGAGGTGACCCAGAGAAATTTCTCTATCACTGTGACTGTTTTTCTCACGCAGAACTACCAATGAAATAAAAAACTTGCAGTACCTACCTCGAACCAGTGAGCCCCGTGAGATGCTCTTTGAGGACCGGACACGAGCCCATGCAGATCACATAGGACAAGGTTTTGAACGACAGACCACGGCTGCTGTGGGAGTGCTGAAGGCTGTGCACTGTGGAGAGTGGTAGGTGCTGCTTGACTTCACCTTGGTGTTTGAAAACTGCCTGAATTTCCATTCACAGCTGGCAGGACTGCAGAATTGGCAAGACTAGGACTTAGGGATTCGTGAAGACTTCGTAGGTTCTAAATTTGTTTGTCTCTAGATTGCAGAGGGACCTTGCAGGGACACTGTAATGGCTGTAATTGAGTTGCTGTGATTATCATGGGAGGTGTAAAAACACTTCACACTTGGTCTTGCTTTACGTGGTGCATATGGACTGAGCTGAGCCTCTGCCACACAGGTGCACACAGAGACCTTCTGGCAGTGATTTGTGTTGTCTGGAGAGAGGGGAATTTTTATGCTTCTGCTTCCAAGTCATGGCTGTTACAACCCTGATTTATTTATGGCAGATCACCTAGGAAGAATCTTGCTGGAAGCTGTGTGGTACTGTGTGGTGTCTGGCTTTGGAACACCCTTGGGAGATTCAGGAAAGGAATGTGCTTCATTTGAAGCTGTTTGCATGTCAGCCAAATCAAAAGCCCATAATCACATGGGCTTCCTGGCCCAGATCTAAGAAGCATTTTTCAGGATCTTCAGGCCTTGGTTTGGGAGAACAGCCTTAGTTTTGGAGCTTACTTTGCTTATATAAACACTATAAATATATTTTGCTCTTTGCATGGGTCTAGAAATTAGAAGAGTGAATTCCCTTTGGATGAGAGAATTATTTATGCTACAGTTCATGAGTTTGTTGAGATGGGAAATAGAATCATTGCCATTGGGGAAGAATTGGATTGTTCAGGTGATGTTTGTGTTTTGGGCTCTGAGGTTTTGCAGGTTACTCCCTCTTCAGCTTCCTGCTTGCTCTGACTGTGAGACACTGAGCAGTGGTAGCAGGGCAGGAGCTGAGATAGCTGTGCAGGTGAGGACTAGAGGGAATGGCCATGAGCCAAGACAGGAGAGAATCACACTAGATGTTAGGAGAAATGTTTTCCCTGTTAGGGTGTTCAGGCACTGGAATATTGCCCAGGGAGGTGGTGGAGTCACCATCCCTGGGAGTGTTTAAGAGGCATCTGGACCTGACACTGGAGGATCTGGTTTAGGGTTTGGGGGTTCCAGCAGTGACAGGTTAATGGTTGGACTCGGTGACCTTAGAGGTCTCCTTCAACCTTGATGGTTCTATGACCTGAGCATTTTAAATTACACTTTGAGAGGCTTTCAAAGGAAGTCAACAAACCAAACACAGCTCAACTCCCCAAACTTGGCTGTCTCTGGGGATGAGTAAGGATTGACACTGACAGTAATTTCGATGTCTGTGGGAGTTTCCCATTCTCATCCTATAGCTTCAGAACAAGATCCTCCTCCCTTGGAAATCGTGACTTGTTTAAATTCTAAACGTAAGTTTTCTTGCTTTTCAGATCTAAACCATGTTCCTTCATGTGCTGGAACTTGTGCTCAAGGGTGGCTGCCTTCTTTAGACTCCTTTGAAACTGGAAAAAAATGAATGGAATTAGTCAAAATGAAAATAGATTAAAAGGTGATCTGAACACTAGGCAAAACAGCTCAGTAAACCTGAGTGCACTTCAGTCTGGGGAATGAAGGAGGAGTATCAGCATTTCACTTAGAGTGTAAGGACTGAAAATGTGTCTTTTAATGCAGGATAAAAAATTTGGGACTGATATAAGGAGAGGAGGAAAATACACAACACAATCAACCCAATAAAAACTAATGTATTTCAAGCTTGATTTGGCCTAAATGGTAATTTCTTCTGTCCCTTTCCACTTTTTTTTTTTGGTATAATTTGAAAAGCCACTTCAGTGCACTTAGATGATGAGAACTAATCAAGGCTTATGATAATGAAGCATCATTGATTAGTGTAACACAATAAAATAATTTCAGATATTAGGTTTGCCACACTTTGCAATTTGTGGGTGGATTTATTTCAAAGGAAACAACAGGCATGGAAGTTTTTGCAAAGGCTGGTTTGGATTTCGGGGTTTTTATGGATTATTTGTTGTTGTTGTTGTTGCTTGGGTGTCATTTTTGTTGTTGTTTTCGTCTGTTTGAGTAGCTGGACAAACCTGAGGAGCTGGAGGTGCTCTGGGGTGGTTAGGGCACTGTGGCAGTAAAAATGCACATGTGGTCATAGTGATTACTTACTGCTGTATTTGTAGGTGGTGCCAAGTCAACTTCAGCACTTGTGCAGTGCTAGGGAAATGTCAAATTGTGGGAAGTGAAGGTTTTTAGGGGGGAAGTTTGGGTGGGTGTTAGAGGGACAGCTGAAGGCACTTTGTGGCGTTGCTGTTGGCAAGATGAAACCTGTGCTCCAGCAAGCAGCTCTCGAGTTCGTGTTCCAGAGCCTGAAGGTGTTAGTGCTTCTCTCTCTGGTCACAGGAGTTTGTTCTGTGTTGCCAGGCCTTACCCATCAGGTCAGAAATACCAACGGTAAGAGAGTTTGGCTCTTTTGAAGAACGAGGTGAAGGGACAAAAATCCCTGCCAGAAATAGTTCTGGCAGTGACCAGTGGGGCTTAATTAAATGGGTTTTTCTGAAGTCATCTTACAGTTCTGGTTTGATTTAATGCCTTTTTGGACGTCTAACTGAACTATGCATGGCCAGTGCTCTCAGGCACAGGGTGTGATCCCCAGGGATGTCCTTGCAGGGCCTGGAGTTGGACTAGATGATCCTCAGGGGTCCCTTCCAGCTCTGATTGCTGTGATGCTGTGACTTTATTCTGCTACTGTTTTGCTTGGGGGTACAAGGCACCTCTGAGTTGAAGGTAAATCTGCAAATGCAGAATTGTTTCTCAGTTGTTTGCAAAAGGAATGTTGTGCTGATAGTGATACATCCTGTTGGACTGAGACTGGGAATGATAAAACCTGAACCAGAATAGATACTGCTGGGAAAACACGTTGGGTTTGGGTTGAAGCTCTCAGAGTATGCAAAATATTCTTTCAGTCTATTTTAATTCTTAACTTCATTACAAATCCTGGGAACTCCACATGCAGATTTTTCTTTTATAAATAAACATGTCTGCATGATAAAAGGTAGATTTAATAGAGCTAATAATTTTCATGCCACTAGTTAGAGATGTTTCTGAGGCTTTTTGCTTTCACTGCTTAAATCCTATTCAGGAGTCTATAGGTCAAAATACAGAGACACATTTTAATCTCTGTAAAATGGAAAGAAAAACATGTGGTCTGAAAATTCTCTCCAGCATACTTTCAGTAGTTGATCTGGGATTTTTTTTTCACCCTGAAAATAGCCTCAGACTGGTTATTTTTTGCTTTATTGAGGTCATGACCTAAATAGAACAAACATGTCTCCTAAGTTTAAACAGCCCAGATGAGCTGTGCATTGTTGCCTCCTGCCTAGGACATTACTAACACCACATGGACATGTTTTTGTATAAAAATTGGTTCTCATCTTGCTTTTAAGCACTTGAATGTCCATTAAATAGATTCAGAAGTGAACATGTGGAGCTTAGAATCATAGAACTATAGAATGGCTGGAGGAGACCTCTAGGATCATTGAGTCCAACCATTAACCTGTCACTGCTGGAACCCCCAAACCCTAAACCAGGTCCTCCAGTGCCAGATCCAGATGCCTCTTAAACACTTCCAGGAATGGTGACTCCAACACCTCCCTGGGCAACCTATTCCAGTGCCTGAACACCCTAACAGGGAAAACATTTCTCCTAACATCTCATCTGACTCTCCCCTGTCCCAGCTCCCATTCCCTCTAGTCCTCTCCCTGCAGCCATGGCAGGACAGACATCCCCCACCTCTCTCCAACCCCTGTCAGGTAGTTGTAGAGAGCCATGAGGTCACCCCTGAGCCTCTTCTCAACATCTCTTGTGTCTCTTCCCCAGGAGACCAAACCCTTCTCATCTGCTCCAGCACTTGGCTCTGATCCCTCAGCTTTCTCTCCTTGGGCTCTTTTTTGACCAGCCTAGTGGCAGGACTGAGTTGTAGGCAGAGGACAGTGTTCCCATGCTGGTGGATGACAAACTCCCCATGAGCTGCAGTGTGAGCTCACAGCTCAGAAACCAACCCAGTCTTGGGCCTCATCCAAAGCTTTAGATGTTTCTGGTGAGGAACAGAGTTTGGCCTTTAGGTCTGAAAGTGCTGAGGATTGTAGCTGCTTTTGCCTTTTGTTAGCTAATTCTAGGTCACGTTTGCAGAGGAATTATATAAATGATGGGCATTTCCTTGGGAGAGATGTTTTGGGACAAGAGCTGATTTCTCCTAGCAGTTGGAATACGGAGACAGAGCCTAACTGAGCCGTGGCTGTTGTGTATCTCTGTTGTGTTGTCAGGGATGCTCTGGGGGGATGGCAGTGTGTGCTGACTGCTGGCAGCTCTGGCTCTAAGGGAGGGGTCTGAGGCTGAGCCACAGTGCTGTCACTCTGTGTGCTGTGAGGTACCTGACACAGCAAGCCCAGTGCATCTAGGGCATCTGTCTGTCAGCAGCAAGAGGTCAGCTAAAAATAGAAGTGAAAAACAGTGAGTTTGGTTGACCTTTCATTGCTGCTTTTACTGCCATCTAGAAAGAATCTGTGGTTCGTTCGCTTACCCAGTTCAGTGAGGTTGTGGTTTAGAACTAGCCATTTGAAGTCCTTTCTCCTTGAGCATGGAGGTTATGCTCGGATTGTTTTTGTAGTTTAAAGGATTTGCTCCATCCCTGCTGGCAGGTTTTCTTTGTCATGCTCTGTAGCAGGTTAGTTTCAGCCCCTGACTGTGCACTCCTGGTTCCTCTGCAGGTCTGAGCAGCCTCGTATAACCAAAGATGTAATTTGCTTTCATGCCGAGGACTTCCTGGAGGTGGTTCAGCGAATGCAGCTCGATCTGCACGAGCCCCCACTCTCACAGGTAAGCCTGCCACGAGCTGACAGGCAGGTCTGCTCTGAGCCCCAGACCAGAGGTTTTCACCCTGTTTTCCCCCTTCCTCTTTCCCCTGCAGTGTGTCCAGTGGGTTGATGATGCAAAGCTCAATCAGCTGCGAAGGGAAGGCATTCGATACGCCAGAATTCAGCTGTTCGATAACGACATTTACTTCATCCCGAGGAATGTTGTGCACCAGTTCAAAACAGTCTCAGCTGTGTGCAGCTTGGCCTGGCACGTCCGGCTCAAGCTGTACCACTCCGAGGAGGAACTCTCTCAAAACACAAGTACTGTTGAAGCAGAGACCTCTGCAGATCCCAAGTCTTCGGTTGTTGGACTTCAGACTGAGAGCAGAATTTGTCCCGTGAGCAAAAATACCTCCGAAGACACCAAATGTTCAGAGGCTCTGCAGACCAAGTACCTGCAGCAGGAGTTTATGCCCATCAAACACGAACCTCTTGGGCCTCACCGGATAAAAGAAGAGCCCATGAATGTGGACGTGGCTGAAGAGACAGTGGGGCCCAATGACATCGTGGGACAGAGTGTCCAGGCTAGGCTGGAGCACGTGGAGTTGACAGCATTAAAGTTGGAAATGGATTCTAAATTTGAACCTGGCAACAAGGACTTACAAGGCAAGTTGTGCTCTGGAGGTCACGTACATCCAGATGATACGAGACAACATAGTTCGTCATATCCAAAACTGCATGGACAAAGAGAGGATGATTTTTTGTGCTAGATTTGTATATATGGTTTTAAATTCCTTTTTAAACTTAATGATGTAATAATGTAAAGATTCATAAATTGTGGGGCGAGTTTGTGACTTGCCTTCGCATCTGTTACAGAAAATAGTTATGTAGCTTTGTAACATTCCTCAGTGCCTGTCCATAACTGTGAAGTATCAAAGCACTTAGGGCCAGATGCACTGTAAACACTGCAGGTTTAACATAAAGAAGTCTTTAAAGAATTTTGGGTTGTAGGTTTTAGAGTAGAGCTGACATTTAACATATATATTTTTTGTAAGATGAGCCAGAATTCTTTTTGACAATTCCAGGCTTTTCCATAGAGCTTATTTATACCAATTTTTTCATTTTAAATGTGTCAGCACTGTAGTGTAAATATCTTTTTTAAAAATCTTTTTAGTGTGATTTATACTGAAATGTGAGCCACTTAATAAAGGTTCATAATAACAGATTGGTTTTATTTTTGGGTCTGCAAAAAATAATTCAGTTCAACTGCCTCTCTAAGTGGTTATGTTCCTACCTGCACTAATGCATAGGGTGCCCTTACACCTTGTGGGTGAGGAGCTGTAGCAAACTGAGGTAGAGCTGAGGCATCTCTGTAACTGCAGATTAATCAGAATGCAAAATCAGTCCTTCCTCCCCAGGATTCCTTCCAGGTGCTCCTTTGAGGCACTCCCCAAACTCCTGCTGCCAGATATCCTTGTGGAACAGAGAGCAAACTGCCCTCCCTGCTGTGGAGGGCACTGGGCACCCAGTGGGCTCCAGGAGCACTGCCAGGACCTGCCTGTGCTTTTCTCTGGATGAGCTGGGCAAGGGAGCAAACTCCCTGCTGTGCTTGCCCCTTCGCCCTGCTCGAGCCACAGTCAAGGCTTCCATTTCACACGAAAAGCAGCAAACCCACAAACCAAACCAAAAAAGCAACCACCCCTCTTGAAATCAGTTCCACCCCCTCAAAATCAGTTCCACCCCCTCAAAATCAGTTCCATCCCTTCAAAATCAGTTCCACCCCCCTCAAATCAGTTATCTGACTAAACTTAAAGGCGATTTCAATGGTTACTTACCAAGCTAAAAAGGCCTCAGCTTTAGCAGTGACCTGTAATTTGTCTGGATCTGAAGTGCTCCCTGTGCTGATAGTGCCAGGCAGTAGGGATAGTTGCCAATGTGTCTAGAAGGAAGGTTCCCCGTGAGTCACAGTTTGGAAGCAAGAGGTGTTTCATTAGGAAAATAAACAGCAGTGTCCAAGTTAACTGTTTCCCCACCTGTGGAACACTGTGTTCTGGGGGAAGAGGATTTCAAGGCTAGCTTAGCATCTGATGTGGCGATGGCAAAACTGTCAGTTAACTTATTTATTCTTTGTGTAAGGTTTTACTGTGTAGCTCCCACACAGCTGGGTGGTGTCTGTCTGAGGTGACTGCACACAGCACTCAGCTGCCCTGCAAGTATGTGGCACTGAAGATCCCAGGCCTGTTGTTGTTTCCCACGCCCTTTGTACCTCTGGTTTCTTTTTGTTTGGATTTTTCCATATGACCCTCTGAAAGTTGTCCATCCTCACATCCCCACTCTGTACCCTTTGATGCACGTAGTGATCACTTTGGCTTCATTTGTAGCAGTAGAACATTGTGATTTTTCAGGTGATGTTTAATTCAAGTACCTGAGGTCCTTCTGTTGCAAGGTTATGTTTGCTTATAGGTTGTTAAAATTTCAAGTGTTCCTGTGTACTCACACCTGGTACTAAAACCAGCTGTTGAATGGACGAGTGCCCTGATTTGGTTTAATCTGAATAGGTCTGTCAAGGAATGATTAATCAATATTTGAATTGCTCAACATGACTCCTGCATAGCCATAACTACGTATTAGAGAAGCAATAGAAACATGAGTCTCTTGGATGTGGCTAATACTTCCTGAAGTCTTGTTGCTCTTTCCTTTGATGCTGGCTGAGATTACTCCCAGTTTTGCAGCCTCAGGGATCTTGCTTTCCCCTCACGCCATCAGCAAATGGTTCATGTGTGACGTGGTTAAGTTGTTACTTCCTGCAGATTCTGATTGGAAAAAAATGAATCGGTTCATGTAAGAATTTGAGCCTTCCTGATCATAGTAATGTGGTCTCAGCTCCCTTTGTGTTTTCTGGATTATCTGGAAGCTTCCACCCGTAATCTCTTTGGCTCACTGAACATCCATACACAGCTGTGTAGGTTTCCATTCCTGTGCCCTGTGCCAGCCCTGGGGGACAGGAGAGGAGCAGAGCTGCAGGTTGTGCTCTCCCAGTGGGTTAGCCGAGGGCCCCAGCGACACCAGCCTTGCCAGGGACTGCTTTTAGAATAAACCCCACAAAGCAAGCACCCCAAACTAGTTAGCTGAGTTAAAATAGGAATCTTAGTGTGCTAGTGGTGCCTGTGCTGACCATTCATCCTGGATCGAGTGATCTTTTGTACCCTGTGTGTGCACCCCTGGGACTGCAGACACCTTCCTGCAGCACAGGCCCTGTCCAGCCTGAAAAAACAAGTCTTTGCAAATGCTTTAGCAAATACAACTTCACACTTAGGAGTAGAACTCTGTTTCCTTTCGCAGACCTGCTCAGTGGTCTTGGCTGGTGTGGCCTCGAACTTCTGCTCAGGTGTCTCTTGGTTCTGAGGTTTTGCTTCTGAACTGCTTATACCTTCATCCCACTTTTTCTGGTTACTGTCAGGATTTTGAGATACTAAACAAGTGGCAGTTTTATTTGAAATTTTTATGCATTCTTTGTTCTTTTTTGAGGCAGACCAGATTTAGGCAGAATTCCTTGCAGACAGAATATGAACCATCCTGGGATTACCAGTGGCTACTGGAGCTCCTGTGCATTCACAGGTGTGAGCAGCCTCGCCTGACTGGCTGCATTAGTGGTTACTTCTTACTTGCTTTTAAAAGAGAAGAAACAAAAAAAGGTGTTGTCCTCTGCCTGTGGTGTGTTCATTTTGCTGCATTTGTTCTTTGAGAGGGGAGTACATTTCCTGAGGATTTCAGCTCCCAAACTGTTCATTAGTCTGACAAAGGTCCTGCTTTGGTTTCAAGTGGCAGCCTCGCCTGACTGGCTGCATTAGTGGTTACTTCTTACTTGCTTTTAAAAGAGAAGAAACAAAAAAAGGTGTTGTCCTCTGCCTGTGGTGTGTTCATTTTGCTGCATTTGTTCTTTGAGAGGGGAGTACATTTCCTGAGGATTTCAGCTCCCAAACTGTTCATTAGTCTGACAAAGGTCCTGCTTTGGTTTCAAGTGGTCCTGTGCTATCTATTCCTGCTTTTTTGCTGCACACAACTTCATCTCCAGACTTTTGCTTCAGCAATAAACCTTCCATGCCTTCTGATGTACTGAAACTAGTCTTTGCTTATTGCTTTCCCCCTGCTCTGGATTTCAGTGAGATATAAATCTGTGTTCTTTTGGCTGAAATCTCCAGTGTTTTCCTTGTTTCCCTCGGCCCTTGCTGTGGTGCAGATTGGAGCATCTGCCCAAGGCCTGTTGCCTGTCTGTGGCAGTGTTGACATCTCTGTGCATTTACTGACACGATGTGCAGAAATATAGATGTTTTCCTAGCTCCTGGTACAGATTTGTGGGTAGCAAAGAACTGTTGCCACTGCTGCTGACAGCTTTCAAGGGGAGTAGCTGCTTCTGGGTTTCAAATTACTGATCTTTTGCGTTTCACTGGCGACTGACTTCATGTGTTACATACAAGTGTTTCCTCGGTGTTGTGTCACCCCCAGCCCTCCCACCTGCCTGCAAACTGAAACAGCATTTTCCTTACAGGTACTGCTGGCATGCAGATTGTCCCTTCCTTGTTACTATAGTGACTATTTCAATACTTCTTTGACTGAAATATTAAGTCTATCTAGTATTAGAAATAAAGTATTATTTCAGAGGGTGATGATTTCATGATTCATCTGTGAAATAATTCCTTGGTGATAAATAAAAGTTGATTTTTGAGCAGATTTATATGTGCAGAGTAAATAAGTTGGCATTGCAAATGATGGAGGAAGATGGGAATATGAAATAGGAGAATGCTGTGAAACATTTACGGATGTGGAAAATTGAGTAAGTCTTCCAAGAAAACACAGGACTGGTGTTCACTGATGGAAATGACTGTTGCTAATGTGGATAAGGATGCTGAATTGACTGAAATCAATCCGTGGTTTTTCCTTGCTCATTGGCAAAATAAACTCCTGTGAGATAGTAGACAACCACGTGGCCCTGCTAGGCTGAGCTGTGCTCATTGTGATCAAGAGATGAAAGAACTCTGCGAGCTCCTCACGTGGGATTTTGCTCATTTTCTCCTAGTGGTCAGGGACGTAGAGAACCTTGTCCTGAGGCAGCCCAGAGCCTGTACCTTACCCTGAATGTATCCAAGCTGGAAATGGAAAGGACAAGTTTTCACTGCTCTCTGCTTTGCTGTGAATGACTGTCAAGAATGTTTTCTTTGATGATGAGTCACTGTGTTCAGCTGATATTTTATTACTTTCTTAAACGGATGAAATGCACTTTAAAAACTGTATAATAGAAGATACTGATATTTTGTGCAGATCCCACTGAATTTGCAGCATACACGGGGAAATTTGGGAAACTGATTCCCATCAGTCACTCATTGACTTTTTCTTAGAAATGCCTACTATGTGTGTTGTGCTCAGAAGCAGTGATTAACGTCACAGTGTCTAGGTTGCTGTTTCTGTTGGAATCATCAGGGATACTGACTTGGCAAATTTAGTGTATTATATTCTAACCACTGTTTTTCTCTGTGCTTTGATGCTGATATTATCTCTGCTTTGGAGCTGTGCTGTACTTGAGTGCCAGCTAAACACTGATCTTCTCTTGTTCTGGTCATGCTGATAGATGAGCTACTGATGAGGGCGTTAGTCCTAAATAGTCCTTTAATATTTGGTGTACAGTTATCTGATACAAACATTGATTAAAACAGCAGTTTAAACTTCTATTTTTATCAAGTTTGATTTTTCAGCAGCTACTTTGATACTATGT